GGGTCTGTCTTTTTCCCCTTCTTGAAGATCGGGACAACATTCGCTCTTCTCCAGTCTTCCGGCACAACACCAGTACTCCAAGACATCTCAAAGATTAGAGCCAGAGGCTCTGAAATAACATCTGCAATTTCTTTTAGCACCCTGAGATGCAAGCCATCCGGCCCTGGAGATTTGAAGGTATTTAAGGCAGCTAGATGCTCTCTATCCATTTCCTTACTTATTCTGGGCTGGCAGTTCCTCCTTCCTTCATATGCCCTGCATTCTTCAGTTTGTATACAGCTTGCCTTACTGTTAAAGACTGACACAAAGTGAGAGCTGAGTAATTCCACTTTGTCTTCATCCCTTGTTAAGGTTTGACCATCTTCCCCTAACAATGGGTTTACCCCATCCCTGTTCTTCTTTTTGCTCTGAACATAGGCATAGAAACCTTTCTTGTTATTTTTAGCATCCCTCGCAAGCCTCAGCTCCATCTGCGCTTTAGCCTTTCTGATACCACCCCTACAGATTTGAGCCTGCTTCTTGTACTCACCCTCAGTAATTTGACCCTCCTTCCATTTCCTGTACATTTCCCTTTTTAGTCTCCGCTCTTTAGAGAGTTCCTTGTTCAGCCACCTCGGCTTCATTGCCCGTCTCCCACCTTTCTTTCTTACCGGAACAGTTTGCGATTGTGCCTTAAGCACTTCATTTTTCAGCATCACCCATCCTTCCTGTGCAGATTTCCCCCTCAGCATTTCCAGCCACAGAATCCTACCTAATATTTCTCTTTTTAAAACCAGCTTTCCTGAAGTCCAAGATACAAGTCCTACTATGTCCTGGTTTCACATCCTTCTCTATGTCAAATTCCAAGCTGACATGGTCACTATTCCCCAAGGATCCCACAACGTTCACTTCAGAAGACAGAAGGCGGCCATAGCTCTGTGGTGGAACACACACTTTGCATGCAGAAACCTCCCCCCAGGTTCAGTCTTCACGTGTTGGAGTGGAATGGAGAATGGCTGGGAAGGAGAGCCAGTTTGGTGTAGTGGTTAAGTGCGCGGACTCTAATCTGTGAGAACCAGGTTTGATTCCCCACTCCTCCACTTGCACCTGCTGATGTGACCTTGGGTCAGTCACGAGCTCTGGCACAGCTGCCCTTGAAAAAGAGCAGTTTGTGTCAGAGTTCTCTCAGCCCCACCCACCTCACAGGGTGTCTGTCGTGGGGAGGGGAAGGGAAAGGAGTTTGTAAGCCGCTCTGAGACTCCAAGTGAAGGGCGGGGTATAAATCCAATCTCTTCTCTTCTTCTTCTTCTTCTTCCTAAAACGCAGGCAAGCTGGTGCCAGCCACGCACAGGACTGGGCTGCACCGCCTGCTCTCACTCGAAAGCAGCTTTATCTGTGGCAAACGCGGATGCAAAAGCCTTCTCAAGACAAAACAGACTGGGTGGTTTGCAGCCTGAATATTCCAACCAAGGGGATCTTTCCCAAATCCTCCATCCTTTCACAGAGGAGAAGGGCTGTGGCTCAGTGTTAGAGCCTCTGCTTGGCATGCTGAAGGCCCCAGGTTCAATCCCCAGTATCTCCCTTTTAAAAAAGGATTGGGTAGTGGGTGATGTGAAAGACTCTGCATTGGGACCCTGGAGAGCTGCTGCCAGTCCAAGGCCCCGGACACACGGCAAAGTTGCCGCGGGAGAGGCACAGAAGGTGGGCGGATTATCCGGGCGCGATCACACCCCAACATCTGGGAAGTGGAGCGCACCCGTGGCTTACCGCCAACAATGCGGATTTAAAAAGTAGTACCTCCAAGGTACTAGTAAACGTTTGCCACGGGCTGCCTCCAGACGCCCGTGGTGTGATCCTGCCGGCGTGCGGCATTCCCCTCCGGTCCCTCGTTTACCCGCTGGCGCCGAGGGAAGGACCCGCGCTGTGCCACCGGCGCGTCTGATCGCGTAATCGCGGATCAAACTGTGCCGGGGCAATTAGCCTCGCCTCCCCCCCCCCGCCGCGATATCCGGCCTGTGTGACCGGGGCCCAAGTAGACAATACTGGCCTTGAGGCTCTGACTCTGTATAAGGCAGCCTCATATGTACATATCTCTGTACATAAGACCCAGGTGGGGCAGCTGTGTTGCTCTGAAGCAGCAGAACACAAGTTTGAGTCCAGTGGAACCTTTGAGACCAACAGCGTTTTATTCTGTGCATAAGCTTTTGTGCGCGTGCACACTTCTTCAGGTATCTTCCAATACACACAAAAACTTGTAGCCAGAATAAAACTTTGTTGGTCTTAAAGGTGCCAGTGGACTCAAAATATAGATGTACATTTATCATTCTACTTCCCAGACGCTGTCCGGTGTCTCAGACTCTTGTTTTCAATGGCCGGATTTCAGCCATACAAAGCCTGATCACATAAAGAGGAGGGCCTTTTCAGCACCACTGAGCAACTACATCTCCTGTCTAGGCCCTGGAGTAAAGGCGGAGGCGATAAGCGCTTCCAGAGCATCACAGGGCATGGCTTCTGGGCATATTATTTTAGAAACTGAGCACTAGCCACAGAAAAGCCAGCCTTCCTTCCAAAGTGTCCCAGAGTCCCGGTTGCCAACCCAGTCTGGAGTTTGGTGTAGTGGTTAAGAGCGCGGACTTTAATCTGGGAGAACTGGGTTTGATTCCCCACCATACAGCTGCTGGTGCAACCTTGGGTCGGTCACAAGTTACTTTTGAGCTGTCCTCTCAAGGGCGGTGTTCAAGAGAGCTCTCTCAGCCCCACCCACCTCATAGGGTGTCTGTTGTGAGGAGGGGAAGGGGAAGGGATTGTAAGCGGCTCTGAGACGCCTTTGGGTAGTGAAGGGCGGGGTATAAATCCCACCTCTTCTTCGCCTTCCATGTTTTTCCATTTGCTAGGCTACTTTATTGCTCCTTTTAAAAAGTCCTCTATGCGCAAGTTTCCATGCGCCTCAATGCCCCTCTTTCAGCCCAGCCTATCCAGTACCCCGCCCGTCTCCTGGCTTTGCCAAAAAAAAAACACCTCCAAAGACCCAGACACCCGAACCACCCTCCCCGCAGGCGTGCTGGCCATTCATTCATTCATTCATTCATTCATTCATTCATTCATTCCTCACAGGCCTACAGGCCGCTTTCCTCTGATTTACAGCAATGCCTTCGCGCACCGCCACTGTCGATCCATAACTTTTCCCAGTCCCGTCTCCCGCCGTTCTTCTTTCTGACCAGCCCTGGATCCCGCTCCGCGGAGGCGTCCCGGAGGACCCACTCAGGCGCCCTGCGCTCCCCGCCCCCTCGGCGCTTCCTGGCCCCCGGGCCCCGCGGATTCCCGCCCTTCCCTCTTCCTGCTTTAACTTGCCGGAGCGCCCCCCTCCCTTCCCCCCCCCGGCCGATCAAAGGCCCGAGCCCCGGCGTCCTCCTGGCGCCCGGCCCGCCAATCGGGGCCTCCCGGACCTGCGGGGGCGTCGCTCGTAGTGAGCCGGGGAAAGTCTTTGGCGCTGAATCACTGGGAGGCCGGCGAGAGGCGAAGGCGCTGCTGCTGCTGCCCCTGCTGCTCCCTGTGTGGCATCTTTGCAGGAGCCGGGCGAGGCGAGGCGGAAAAGTGCCGCGGCAGGATGCTCGTCTGGGGACCGCTGCTGGGGCTCTGGGCCCTGCTGCTGGAAGCCGCCTGGGGAGAGCCGGTGCCAGGTAAAGAGGACTCCCGAGAGAAGCCGGATTGGGTTAGCCCCTCTGTTGTGGCTGCGGTGGTCACACACACGCTAAAGAATCCACTTTCCAATCCACTTCCCGACTGGATGTTACTGCGCGAAGTGGATTGTTTAATGTGTTGCTGCTGGCCGAGCCAGGCGCCTTCTGTGGCTTTAGGGCCAGTCGGAGCCGTTTCTTGCTGGCACCGACGGGGGAGGCTGCACCGGCTGAACTTCTGCCTGTAACTCTCGAGGGACTGCGAAAGGGGCGGAGAGACGCCAGTGAGTTGGGGCTGAGTTAGAACAAACAGGAGAGGGACGCGGAAAGGAGAGCCGGGGGGTGTCTGGGGATGAATGGAAGGACGTTTGAGTCCAGTGGGCGCCCAACTAAGTTTTATTCTGGGTATCCGCTTTCGCGCGTGTGTGCGCGCGTTTCATCAGGTCCCGCGGATGGGTGCGCTCTCCGTCTGCTCCGCTTCTTGCTTCATCTGCGGGGGGGGGGGGGAGGGAATTGCAAAGTTTTGTGGCTGGCTGGGCGCCTGTGGATGGGTCTTAGAGTCCGGGGGCTACTGCGTGAAACGGCAAAAATCCAACTGCAAACAGAGTGCTCGTTTTCCCCTATTGCTTTGCCCCCCCCCCCGCCCCACATGTGTTTTACTCCCTCCGGGACTGCTAGAGAAAGGAAAACACATGGGACCCTGAAGCAATTGGGACAAACGAGTGACAAAAATGACAACGCGGAAGTGGCCACAGTAAAATCCAGTTGGAAAGTGCTCTGAAAGTGGACTTATTCAGTGTGTGTGTGTGACCGCAGCCTAGCTGCAGTGGAAGTGCATTATCCAGCACGCGTGAAAGCGACTTAGTGGGGGCCCAGAGAACACGCAATAGTAGCACACCGTCGATGTCTGGAAAAGATATGTGCCCTAAAGGGCCAAGTAAACTTTAATCGGGCCAGCGTGTCAGCTTCCGTATCAAACAGAACACAAGGAGGTGATATTTGGGTGTCTGCAATGCGGGGGTGTTGTGCACGTCCATCTGAGCGTAAAGTTTTGGGCGAGGGCGATCCGCGTGTTTCCCAACGGGACTCTGACATGTCTCACCGTTGTTCCTCGGACAGAACAGTCACTGGGAGGAGGGCTGAACGGGCGAGATTTTTGCCCGTGGGGTATAGATTAGACGCCTTGTTGAAGGGGCGGCAAAGCCACCCCTGCGGGTTAGAAGAAGGCAAGAGAGACGGGCGACTCTCTCTGATCAATTTACGCCACAAAGCGTATGGGGGGGGGGCGGGCTCGAGCCTGCCAGGAGAGGAGACAAAGGCAGTCCGCACATGCCCAGAGGACCGCTTTCTTTTACACGTGCCAGACCGCAGCCGGGGATTGAATCAACCCTCGCCCCGCCCGCCGCAGAAGGTGGCATTTTTATGAAGGGAGAGCCCCGCCCTCCCGGCCCCGTTTCTCCATTGGCTGCTTCGGGGAGGGGTCATTTCCTTTCCTCCCCTTTTCCCATAAATGAGAGAAACTGGGCCGGATCGCAAAGGATCAGGAGACCTTGGAGGGAC